TCTTAAATAAGATTTCCCCCCATTGCTTTGTGGTATCACCTTTGCCATAAAGCAAGTCCCCATAAATACATTGGTTTGCTTTTTATCTGTTACATTCCATTAACTTATTTGACTGATAATGTGCCAGTAGCAGACTGTTTTTACTACCATGGCTTTATAGCAGGTCTTAGTATCTTTTAGGAAAATGTTTCCATTTTGCTCTTCTTTTTCAGCATTAAATTATGTATTTCTGGACTCTACCCTTCATGTGCATTTTAGAATAAAAGTTTTAGATCTTTAAAAAATACTGCTGGGATTTTGACTAGGACTGCATTGAATTTGTGGAATAATTTTATATCTCTGTAGTGTTAAACCATCTCACCCATTAAAGGTTCATTTATACAGGTCTACTTATAAGAGTGTTTCTTTCTTCCTTTTTAGAGAGCTGGAAAAAAATAAGAAAAATATTTCCAAAATTGCTCCTCAAAGATTTTGTACAGTATTTGTTAGATTAATTCTAGAATTTTTTAGAGTTTGGGTTGCAATTATAAATGTCAATATATTTTATTTTGAAAGTTCTAAGTAGTAATAACTGGTAAAGAGAATCACTTGATTTTTATTATCTGGCAATATTGTCAAATTATTTCATTATTTCTAAATCATCAGTTCATTTACTATATTAGGTTGCCTCTGTAGATGATCATGTAATCTGCAAATAATAGTTTTATCCTTTTCCTTTCAATCATGCACCACTTATTTTTCTTTCCTTATTGCATTGGCCAGTACTATGTTAAATGGTGAGAATGATAACAAGGATCCTGTCTTCTTACTAACCTAAAGAAAACGTGTCCAAAATTTCTTCATTAAATGTATTTCCTGTGCACTTTTGGTAAAGAGGCTTTGTCAAGTTACAGAAGTTCTAAAAATGTTTGTGAAACACTTTTCCTGAATCAATTGAGAAAATTTTGTAGTATTTCTCTTTTAGTAAATTAATTGGATGAATTACACTGATAAATTTTCTAATAAGCCATTCTTGCATTTCTGGGATAAACCAAGACCACAATGCATTGTTTTATAGCATTTGTTGGGTTCAGTAGCGGTTTTAATTTGCCAGGGCTGCCATAACAAAATACTACAGACTGAGTGACTTAAACAACAGACACTTATTTTCTCATAGTCCTGGAAGGTGGAAGTTCAAGATCAAGGTATCTGCAAGTTTCTGAGGCCTCTTTCCTTGGCTTGCAGGTGGCTTTTTCTCTGTGCACACACATTCTCAATGTCTCTTTTGTGTATCCAAATTTCCTCTCATAAGAACACCAGCCAGATTAGATTAGGGCCCACCCATATGACCTCATGGAATCTCAGTTACCTCTTTAGAGGCCCTGTCTTCAAAAAATTCACATTCTGAGACACTGGACATTTGGGCTCCAACATATAAATTTGGGGAAAACACACTTCAGCCCATAAGAATGGCTAATATCTTGAACTTTTCATTTATGTTCACAATGAAATTTGGCCTATAATTTTCTTTTCTAAATGAGTTGGTAAGATTTGGATATATTTCTCCTTTTTTCTGTTATCTGGAACTACTTGTGTAAGTTTGGGAGTATATGCTCCTTGAAATCCTGGTAAAATTTCCCAGAAAAATCTCTATGACTAGGAAGTTTTTAAAATATATGAAATCAAGGAGAATATTTTATGCTATTTTATTTATTTATTTATATTTGAAATGGAGTTTTGCTCCTGTCGCCCAGGCTGAAGTGCAATGGCATGGCCTCGGCTCACTGCAGCCTCCACTTCCTGGGTTCAAGTGATTCTCCTACCTCAGCACCCTGAGTAACTGGGATTACAGGCACCTGCCACCACACACACCTGGCAATTTTTTGTACTTTTAGTAGAGACAGGGTTTCACCATGTTGGCCAGGCTGGTCTCTAATCCTGACCTCAGGTGATGCACCGGCCTTGGTCTCCCAAAGTGCTGAGATTACAGGTGTGAGCCACTGCACCCAGCCCCAAGAAGAATATTTTATTAGCATTTTAATTTATTTAATATTTGTTGTTCTATTTAAATTTTCTTATTCTAATTATGACATTTTACATTTTTTCAGTTTTTATACAGGTTTCATAATATCTATTAGCATGATGATTTTCACATTTATACCTTTTATTCAAGTGGAATTCATTTTTGTTTTGGGGGGTTGATGGTTTTTTAACTTTTATTTTAGGTTCAGGGGTATAAGTGCAGGTTTGTTATATAGGTAAATGGTATGTCACAGAAGTTTGCTGGGGAGATTTCATCACTCAGGTAATAAGCATAGTACCCAATAGGTATTTTGGAATTCATCTTTGTTGCAAGTTAAGATAGGGATCTCTTTATTAAATGAGCTTACTTTCTCATCATCCATCCATTTCTTTCCCAAAGATTAATAGATCCCCTTTATCATTTATAAAATTTCCACATATACATGGAAATGATTTTATTTTTATTTTATCTTTGTCTCTTATCAATTCAAGTGTTTACAAAACAGATACTTTCTTTCTTACCATGTACCTTTAATATTCACAACAAGCCTGAGTATTGTCTCTGTTTCTTAAATGAGCAGATACTCAGAAAGGTTCTATTTAGCCTAAAGCTCACGTAATGCTAGATGACACACCAAGAATTCTGATTCCAAACTAACCGCTCTTTTCCCAGATTACCTTCTGCCTGTTTAAGCACCTGGTTTCTTATATCTAATTTCATCTATTTAAATACTCATTGAACACCCATGATGTTCCAGACACTATTCTAGGTTCTAAAACAATGGCAGATAACAAGCCAGATACAAATCTGTGCCCTCAGAGAACTTACATAGCAGAGGGCTCAGGGTAGCTCTGAACACAGAGGTGACAACTGAGAAAGCATATTTGAAGACAAAGACTGTTCTGATACCTACTTTGTATCCATTCTTTCAAGGAGCTTGGGGCTTGTTTGGAGAGTCAAAGGAAGGCCTGTGGATGTTCCCCTGACTCTAATTAGTAACTGAACCCTCAAGTCAAACAAGGTACTTGAAGTCACCCAGGCTATGACTCTTCCTTTGGGAAATTTCAACAATTTTCCTTAGTATGCCAGAGACACCATTTTCTGCTTTCCTCTGACATCTGAAGTAAGTTAAGACCTTACCTCTTATTGTCTTCCCCAACTCCCTACAGCCATTATCAAGCCTGGTTTCAGAATGTCCTTGGTAGAGAGGGACAGTGGAGTTTCCACCAACATTAAAGCCTCTTACATAAAGCTTTCTTCTCATTTTAAAATGTTTTCACACTTAAGATCAGAAATAGACTCAAACTGATGTAACTCATTATACTTCATAGTCATAGAGCAATTTAAGGTTAATAAAAATCTACTAGAGGATTAATCATTTAAAGGGTACTCTGGTCTGTCTCTCTGGCTTTAGCAGATAAAAATTAATTCCTGATAAACAGATAGTAATATCCAATTTCCCTTTTTATAAATAGTAATTGGTAGGGGGAAGGGGAAATAGGGACAAAACTGTTAAAAGATACAAAATTACAGCTACTGGCCAGGCATAGTGGCTCATGCTTATAATCTCAACAGTTTGGAAGGCTGAGGCGGGTGGATCACTTGAGGTCAGTTCAAGACCAGTCTGGGCAACATGGTGAAACCCTACAAAAATTAGCTGAGCGTGGTGGTGCATGCCTGTAATGCCAGGTACTTGGGAGGCTGAGGCAGGAGAATCACTTGAACCTAAGAGGTAGAGGTTGCAGTGAGCCAAGATTGTGCCACTGAAACCTGGGCCACAGAGTGAGACTCCATCTCAAAAAAAAAGAAGGAGGAATAAGTTCTAGTGTCCTATACCACTGTAGGGTAACTAGAGTTACTAAAATATGGATTCAAGTAACTAGAAGAATATTGACTCTTCCAATACAAAGAAATGATACATGTTTGAGATGATGGATATGCTAATTATTCTGATATGATCACTATACCTTGTATATATCAAAACATCACTATTTACCCCACAAATATGTACCATTATTATATGTTAGTTTTTAAAAATAAATAAATAAATAATAGTAATTGGATCTTTAGCTGGGCCCATGGGCACCCTGAACAAAGGCCGTATTTCCCAGCCTCTCGTGTGATCATGGATTCATTTCCAGCCAATAGAATGTAGGCAACTTCTCAATCATGTCTTTAAGAGGAGACTGTCCATCCCTTCCCTTTTCTACCTTTCCATTGGCTGGTAAGGGACCTAATGGGGAACCTCTGGGCTGTGGGGATACAAGGAATACCCTATGAATGGCACAGTGAAAAACTAAGAACCTGCACCCCTCTTTGCCTGAGAAATAGAATCTTATTACCAACTGGGACTTGAACCATAGAGAAATCAGCTTCCCTCTGGTCCAAGTCACTGATATCTAGGTCCCATTCAACCAGACCTATAGCCTCACTAATGCTCCCCAATGTCCAGCCAAGCTCCCTGTTCTTCCTAATATCCATCTTCAGGCCTTCTAGCTGCTACAATTGAAGTAATTTTTCTTCTCATCTTTAGGGAAAGGATGCTCTCGTTCTGGTTCTTTAGTGAACCGCTTCTGCCAACAATGAGTGTCACATAAAGAACGTGCCTTATATTAGAGTAACTTTTTTTCAGGCTTTAGGTCAGGGCAGCTATAATGCTTTCAAACTTTAAGAATTGGGCAGGCCTGGTGGTTCATGCCTATAATCCCAGCACTTTTGGAGGTCGAGGCAGGTGGATCACTTGAGGCCAGGAGTTCAAAACCAGTCTGACCAACCTGGCCAACATGGTGAAACCCCATCTTTTTTAAAAAATACAAAGTTTAGCCAGGCCTGGCGGCTCGTGCCTGTAATCCCAGCTACTTGGGAGGCTGAGGTGGGAGGATCACCTGAGCCCAGGAGGGGGAGGTTGTAGTTAGCTGAGATTACCACAGCACTCCAGCCTGGGTAACAGAGAAAGGCTCTGTCAAAAAAAAAGAAGAAGAATTGAGTTGACAAATCATTAAGAACTTTATAATTTTTATTCTTTTACTACTTAAAAAATTTAATCTTGAAATTGGTCAACCTTAGGTAAAACTAACGATATATTTGTTTTTATACATTATATACACTTGAGAAATAAATAGTCCTCTAAGTAGCATTTTTAAAAAAGCATCATTATATACAATTAAGGCTTCAAGCCAGGTGTATAAATATACAACCTGCTGAGATTTCAATTCCCAAACCTTCCTTTAGTAAAAACAGAAGTCAGAAGTGACCAGGATGTACAGCCACCAATACAGGTTGAACATCCCTAATCCAAAAATCCAAAATCCAAAACTTTTTGAGCACCAACAAGACACCACAAGTAGAAAACCCCACACATAAGGACTTAACATAAACCGAGCTTCATGCACATGATTTAAAATATTGTATAAAATTACCCTCAGGCTATGTGGATACAGTGTAAATGACACATAAATAAATTTTGTGTTTAGAGTTGGGTCCTATTCCCAAAATACCTCATTATGTATATGCATATATTCCAATATCTGAAAATAACCTGAAATTTGAAACACTTCTGATTCCAAGCATTTTGGATAAGGGATACTCAACCTATACAAGCTTCACTTCGGCTAGAAAGCAATCACAGAAACAAGAGAAGCACACAATTGGCTTGAGAACATACCTTGAATGAACACTTAACTGGTTATGTCTTCAGAAGTTTAACAGTGATACAACTTTGGCATGACACAGATTAAAACAATGTCCTTAGAAAACCTAAGTACGAAGAAAATCATTCTTCCTCCCCCACACTTCCTCCCAAATCTCAGCCATAAAAAGTCCAATCTCTTGGTACAGATATTCTCCTTGTTATACATTAATAAAAGGGCTTAGGATTTTATTGATGGTTCTACAAAAAAAAAAAAAAAAAAGTCCTTGTTTGTCTCACACCTAGGGTGTATTGGTGGGAATTGGTTGCAAACGTCTTCATGGAGTTTCAGAGATGGACTTTGCCTCCGGGAAATCTGGGTCCTCTGCCTGGCTGCACCGCTAACTAGGTATATAAGTCTAGGCATGTGGCTGAACCTCACTAAGCCTCAGTTTTGTAAAATAGGGATAAAAATAGCTGCCCTTTTCTCCCTACTCTAATTAGGTAATGTACACACACAAATCTTTTGAAAAGTATAGGTGTCTCAGATATTGCATGCATTAATTCAAACCAAGATCTAGAATTGGTGGCTTTTCCAAGAAGTTCAACAAGAAAAGGCACTGGTGCACTGCAAGAACTCTTAGAACCAGCTCTGTCTGGCAGGTGCTGGATTCTGTGTACACAGATACGTATTACATATGTCATACCTTCTATCTCCCTAAACAGAAGAGATTTGCTCCAAAGCAGTTGTGTCTGGCAACTGGCCATCATCCTGGCCCCAGCATGTATGATATTCTGCTTGCTGTTCTGCTAGTGATCAAACATGTCACTCATAGGGGAGGTGGCACATATTAACTAAGAAGAAATAGAAACCACTTAACACCTCAGGATCCCTGATGCTTACATCCTACAGCCTCCACCAGGCCCCAAGTGCCTTGTCCCATGCATATACACATATACCATCCAAACAGAAAGGGGGTTGAGAAATCACAACTCCACTGGGTTCTGAATGGAGAGGCTCAGTAATATGCCCACTACCACATTCTAACTAATTTTAAGTGTTCAGTACACATTTGCTCAATTAAAAAATGGACAACAGAAAAATAAGAAAGCCAATGATGTGTGCTTCAGAGAGTGAGCTGGGGAGCAGGACAGAATGGCTAAGATATAACCAGTATGGTCAGTGTAGTCCATGAGAACTCAACAGTCAGAGCCTGAACAAGATATCAGGCCTGCTCCCATGATATAAGTCAGCTGCCATCAGAAGGACTTCTCACTAAGGCTCAAGGCAGGCTAAGCAGCTGACAGCCTTCCACGCAGACCCTCTTTGGAGCCAGCATTCCTTGTCAGGCAGCGTACAGGCTCACCCAGCAACTGAGAAACCAGTCCAGTGTGCATGATAGGCCCCGGGGCACCCAGCTGCTTACACACAAATCTGTACTTGGTGCTCTGGAGGTATGGACAGAGGCTTGGAGTTAGAGCTATTCAAGAGAGGCAGCAGGAGCTATAGCAGCGCACAATCCCCTCCCGCGAGGAGTCCCAGCAATCACAGGAGACCACTTGTTCCCAGTACTCCAGGGTCAAGGCCGAGAAGAATCCTTCCATCGGGAGGATCCTCAGCAGTAACTTTCCTCCATGTGCTTGGATAGCAGGAAGTCTTGCAGCCTTGCTGGCAAGACTTGCCCGGGCACCCTCAGGGAAGCTTCACAGTGGGACTGAAAAAAACCATGTGAGAGTGCCATTCATTAGCTCAGGTACCAGCAAACATGCGAACCTGTATTCTAGGTATGCTCTGTTGACCTCAAGGCCAAGCTTTCTGACACCCCTAGGGAACTATTTTACCTGCATTTCTTTCAGAATAAATGGACAAGGTCCCAAGTGCTGCCTTTGCTCCCTAACCCGACAAGCCACAGATGTACTTTGAGAAACACCACACGGCAGCACCCTCTAGACCCCCTAGCTGAGTACATCACAGTTCTTGCATTTGTATATTTAGCCCAATACCCACCCACAACATGCACATACACACAATCACAGATACACAAGTGTGGGGAGAACTATCAAAGCATCCTCGTTGCCTTGATCTAGAAATACAAGAGAGACCCTGTTATGGCAGGAAGGGGGCAAGACTGGGAGTTGGGAGACCTGGGTGCTAGTCTCAGCTATGGGAACATACCACTGAGCCCCTCCAAATCTCAACCTCCTTCTCAGTGAACGTGTGAACAGCATCCATGTCAGGAGGGAGGATGTGAACATGTTACATATGGTGCCATGGCTTCCTAATGTTCATTTATGACTTGGGCTCCTACTGTTTTTGAGGGAAAGGGAAATGACAACTTATTTACTAAAATTAGTAGTGAGAGGGTGAGTGATAGAATGCTCAGGTAAATGAATTCCAAAGCAGGAAAGAAGAATAAATATCTTAGCCTTTATCATAAGAATAGCTATTCTGACCAGGCGTGGTGGCTCATGCCTGCAAACCCAGCACTTCGGGAGGCCGAGGCAGGCAGCTCATTTCAGCCCAGGAGTTGGAGACCAGCTTGGGCAACATAGTGAAACCTCATCTCTATAAAAAGTACAAAAATTAGCCAGGCATGATGACACATTCTTGTAATCCAAGCTCCTCAGGAGGCTGAGGTAGGAGGATCATCTGAGCACAGGGATGTCGAGGCTGCAATGAGCTGTGATAGTGTCACTGTACTCCAGCCTGGGTGACAGAGCAAGGCACTATTTCAAAAAAAAAAAAAAAAAAAGAATAGCCTTCCTTAGCCATTTTTCCTGGGTGTGTCCAATCTACATGGTTGTCTGGAGGATCAATGAAGCTAATATATGTGGAAACACTTTGAGATGTATAAATTTAAATACATAAAGATTTATAATTGTTATGATAGCAGGAAAAATCATACAAGCCTATGCTAGACCAAGTCTCTTAATTAGATGAGCACAAGTCCTGTGATGATGGGGCTTGTGGTGGTGTTGAGCTTTTAACCAGGAGACAGAGCACTGGGATGCAGCCCAGCCTCAGGGGTGGCAAATGGTTAATCACAGGGGATCCCAGAGCATGGGCACAGCTGCCTGATAATTGATACCCAGGCAGAAGTGAGGAGATTCATCTGAGCACATGGAGCCTCGGTGCTCAAGGGCACAGGCCTTGGAGTAGACAGACCTGCTTCAACTTTCTCTGCCATTGCTGTGGGACTTGGGAGAGAAACTTTGTCTCTCTGAGGCTCGGTTTCTCATCTGTACACAGGGATAACAACCCCCGCCTCATGGGGTTGATGATGAGCATGATCATGTAAGTCCCTGGGTGCAGGCTGGGCCCAAGCTAAGTGCTAGGTGTACCAGAGCAGTATTATTATCTAGTACCCTGGTTACAGCAAGGGGTGGGGGTAGGCATGGTGCAGGGAGACAGTCTCCTTCCTCCTCAGCAGGTGTTTCAGCTTAGAGGGCATGTGGCTGGTTCCCCAGGATGAACCCACTGCCTCACACCACCAGATGGGCCTTCCTCATGTCTGAAATAATGGATTGCAGCATGGGAGAAGGGGATAGTGAAGCATGACAATTCCTATGTCTCCCTTAGCTCCACATACATGAGAATTTCTGTTTCTCAAAGAGGGAGAAGATGGGGGTTGGGCACAGTGGCTTGTAATGCCAGCACTTTGGGAGGCCAAGGCAGGCAGATCATTTGAAGTCAAAAGTTTGAGACCAGGGTGGCCAACATGGTGAAACCCCTTCTCTTCAAAAAAAAAAGAAAAAAATTAGCCAAGTATGGTAGCAGGCACCTGTAATCCCAGCTACTCAGGAGGCTGAGGAAGGAGAATTGCTTGAACCCAGGAGGCGGAAGCTGTAGTGAGCCAAGATTGTTCTACTGCACTCCAGCCTAGGCAACAGAGCAAGACTCTGTCTCAAAAAAAAAAAAAAAAAGTATGAGGGAGAACTAGGCCCACACTCACCTGGGTTCTAGAAAACCTAAGGAAGGAGAACATGCTTTATGCTTCTCCTTATCTCACACCCCATTCCCAGCCCTGACCTGGTGGCCAGCAGGAAGCTAGGAGCCCTTAGGCACCTTCCCACAGGTCTAGTTATTACGGAGAAGACGTCAGTCAAAGATGGCAGGGTACAGTGGTTCACGCCTGTAATCCCAGCACTTTGGGAGGCCAAGGCAGGTGGATCACTTGAGCCAAGGAGTTCAAGACCAGACCGGGAGACATGATGAAACCCTGTCTCTGCAAAAATACATAAATTAGCTGGGTATGGTGGCATGTGCCTGTGGTCCCAGCTGTTCAGGAGGCAAAGGTGGAAGGATCACCCAAGCCTGGGGAGGTTGAGACTGCAGTGAGCCGGGATCATGCCACAGCACTCCAGCCTGGGTGACAGAGTAAGATCCTGTCTCAAGGGGAAAAAAAGATACTTCAAAGATGGCAGGCATGGGCACCAACCTGGGGACTTAGTTACCAAGAACACCTCATCCAGTAGGGTTATGTGCAATGAACCCCTACAGGTTGAGGCAGGACAAAGTGCAGAAGAGACATTAACACCTCCAACAGCCTATCTATGGTATTTCACTTGCTGTTTTATCTCCTTCTAGCAGAAGATCAGCTTCTTTATTTTATTTATTTATTTATTTATTATTGAGACAGAGCTTCGTTCTTGTCACCCAGACTGGAGTACAATGGTGCAGTCTCGGCTCACTGTAGCTTCCACCTCTTGGGTTCAAGCAATTCTCCTGCCTCAGCCTCCCAAGTAGTTGGGATTACAGGTGTGCACCACCACATCTAGCTAAGTGTGTGTGTGTGTGTGTGTGTGTGTGTGTGTGTCTGTATTTTTAGTAGAGACGGGGTTTCACCATATTGGTCAGGCTGGTCTTGAAGTCCTGACCTCAGGTGATCTGCCCGCCTCAGCCTCCCAAAGTGCTGGGATTACAGGCGTGAGCCACCATGCCAGCTTCTTTAGGGAAGACTTTTTATCTGTTTTGTTCATGCTATGTCCCCCAGACCCAGATCCACGCTAGGCGATCAGTCAACATGTGCTGAGTGAAACACATGAGAAAGTCCTGGTTACCTGGTTTCATTTTTCATCCTCCAGCCATCCCGACACTTGTGAAACCAGAGCTCCCGGCCTGGGGATATGCTGGTGTTCTCAGGGTCCTCTGCGCAAAATGTCAGTCTAGGAAGGAAAAGAAACTACTGATGTAGCCAGAACTCTAGATGGATTCCAGCTGTGCTTTCTGGATTCAAGACAGATGGGTGAGGAGGCAGGGGTGAAATTCTCCTGCCATGCCTTAACTCAAAAGCCTTCAGAATTCCCCGGTCACTACTGCAGGGACTCCAAACTGTGTCTCACTTTGAGGCTTCCATGATCCAGCCTCATGCAGCCTCAGCCAGACCTCTCCAACCTGCTTCCCTCTGTCTATCCAAAAACACCACCTGCCTCTCAAGGCCATAGCCTCTCAGAAACCTCCATGACTGTCTGAGCCCTCATTAACCTAACCCTCCCTTGGCCTTTCAACTGGTTACAAAGTATGTCCTTATATAAATATTGCTTTTGTTAGTGTTGCTACTTCTTGCAACATGGAGTTTAAAAAGAACTTTTTATTTTAACATGTTATGCCCTGCCTGAAATTGCTTGCTGATATCTGTGGTTGACTTCTCAACTAGACTCTAAGCTTGAAGGAGTGATTCAAAATATCTCTAGTTCAGTGCTCTGTAAATATCCATTGACAAGAGCAACTGGAACTCAGCTGCAAGTCAAAACCAAAGATTCAGCAAATGGACAGCCAAGAACACAAGAAAGAATCAGGGCCTAATAACCATTGTCCTGGAACTTATGGCTGCCCCACTCAGCAGCCTGGGGGACGTGTGATTAGCATGACCACGTAATCCTTAAGTGTGTCCTGCACCTGACCCTGGAGCTGAGGCAGGACAAAAGCCCCATTCAGAACAGTTTAAGAGCCTTTCCCAGGAAACCCTAAGGACCTTAGGACCCATATGTTTATACACATATAAAAACATGACCTATCTCATGCACAATCAGGAAATGCAAATTCAAACAACAGCAGGGAGCCCATTCACACCTAACAAAATGGCAAGAATGTTCCGCGAGATATGGGTAAAAAGGAGGGAAAGGGGAACTCTTCATCTATAGTTAAGTTGGAAAATTAGTCCAACCACTTTGAAGAGAGATTTAATAATATCTGGTCAGGCTGGAGAATGCATATACCACAACCCAGCAATTCCGCTTTTTGGAACACATGCTGAAAATCAGCCCTTGCACACTTGTGCACAAGGAAAATGCAGAGGATATTCATCTAGGCACCATTCGTAACTATGAAAAAGCAGCAACAACTTAAGTTTTCAGCAGAACAATGGCAAAACTATTTGTGCAATGGTCATTTACATACAGGAATTAAACAAGAATAGATTCGATTTTTATGTTTTGGATAAACTTCACAAACAATATTTGCATGAAAAAATCAAATTGTAAAATATTATGTCCACTCATGCAAAATTCAGAAGCATCTTAAAACAATTCTATACATAGTTTATGTATACAAACACAAGTACTAAGGGGGCCGGGTGCAGTGGCTCATACCTGTAATCCCAGCACTTAGGGAGGCCAAGGCAGGTGGATCACCTGAGATCAGGAGTTCAAGACCAGCCTGGCCAACATGGCAAAACCCTGTCTCTACTAAAAATACAAAATTAACTGGGCATGGTGGCACATGCCTGTAATCCCAGCTACTCAGGAGGCTGAGGCAGGGAAATAACTTGAATCCAGGAGATGGAGGTTGCAGTAAGCTGAGATCACACCACTGCACTCCAGCCTGGAATACAAAATGAGACTCAGTCAAAAGAAAAAAAGAGAGAGAGAGAGAGAGAGGGACGGAGGGAGGGAGGGAGGGAGAGAAAGAAAAGAGAGTATAAAACAATGAAGGAAGGAAAACCTTCCTTCCAGTTATATTTGGTTTGAAAGAGGAGTGGGAGAGAGCAGAGAAGGACACAGGGACTTCAACTGTATTTATAATGTTTTACTTTTTAAAAATCTTATATCTGAAACCAACATGGAAAACTATTTATATTTTTAAGTCTCGGTGGTGGTTTAATCAGTGTTTATTTTCTCTGAAATTTTTTATTTATAAATGATGATCTTTCTGCTATCACACCCATAGGTATAGTTTGCACCTGCAAGAGCCCAGAGAAGTAAAAAGATACACAGTCTAGACCACAAGCTGGCACCCGCAGTTCACAGATTTCTAGACTAGAATCATTCAGCTGAGGGCCCCAAGCCTCCACTTTACTTCCCTCTGCTGCCAAGCTGTGCCACAGATGATGCGTGTAAGTAAACAAGACATGGCAAGAATTATAATGGAGAAAATGCCAGAGAAGGGATAAAGGAGGCAGCTGCCTCCGCCCATGCCAAGGCCGGCAGTGACCTCTCTGGAGGTCACCTGAAGGGCTTGGTTAAGGAAACCCTCCCCTCTTGACAAAGGTCTCCAGGCTTCCCTGGCTTCTGTTTAGAAAGAAGCCTGCTCAGGGAGTCAAGTTGCAGTGTTAGAAGCTGATAGAAAGGTCTGGATCTTTTATGCTAGGCTTGGGGTTAAAAGAAATGGGAAACTGCCAGCTAGCATGGCACAGAGGATTCTCTGTTATTTGCAGTAAGGACCGCTGCCCCACATCCTTGACTTAGAACCTCTGAAGGAGAGGTATAATCATGCTCTGAAAATCACATGCTGGGGAAAAACCAGACCCTCCCACAGACCTCATCCGTGGGGGCTCCCTGGACGTGACACTCCGGTCTGCTCTGGTCAGAAACAAGCAAAGCCTTTTGTCTGCACGGACACCACAGTAAACAGATCAACAAGGCAGCACTCCTAAAAAGCCTGGTCCAAGAGAAGCCCCCCTCCTTCAGGCTGACACAAGGCCTGGCAAACAGAGCCAGGGCTGAACTCCCGCCTCCACTGGCCCACCCCTCTCAGCCGAGAGCCTATGATCAGGGCATGAGATGCACAACAGTTGGCAGAAGACTTGATCTGGAAGTCACTTGTCCTTGGGAAGGTGTTTAAGGTTGTACCTGCATGCTGGAGGAAGGACTGAGGATGGATACGGCAAAGGAAAAGAATGGCAGAGGCACAGCCAGGCAGAAGGAGCAGGAGGCACTTACTTCCTCTGGGTTTCCCCAGACTTCACCCGGATGCGCCTGATATGCAGCTCCTGCCTGGGGTTGCGGGGTTGAGACAGGTAGCTGCGAAGCTCCTTCCACAGGCTGTACCAAGACTGAGAGGTCCCCTCCCAGGTGAGCTGGATCTTCAGGAGGTCTCCCAAGTCCTCCTCAGTGTAGACCAGGAAGGTGTTGGTGGCATTCTGCTCGATCTGCTCCACTCTACAAGTGAGAGAGAAGCTGATCTCACTCCCCTGACAGCTGGAAAACTGCCACACTGTAGGGTGACAGTGGCAGTAACAACCACACACAGGAGAGAGACAGTGTGAGCCCTTCCCCCACCTCTAGCCCTCCACATCCCATGATCAGGACCAAGGTGGAAGCTTAGATGTGCTCCACATGGGCTGAGCTAACTTTGCCCACAGCACCCCAGCTTCTTATCAAAACCATTTCTGGGCACCCCTCCACCCCATTTGTGCTACTTCCTGAAGAGACAGGACGAAGAAAGAACACAGTAAGAAAACACAGCCTGGAGCAGCAGCTCACACCTGTAATCCCAGCACACTGAGAGGCCGAGGCTGGTGGATCACGAGGTCCGGAGTTCGAGACCAGCCTGGCCAACATGGTGAAACCCGTCTCCACTAAAAATACAAAAATTAGCCAGGCATGGTAGTGGGCACCTGTAATCCCAGCTACTCAGGAGGCTGAGGCAGGAGAATTGCTTGAGCCCAGAGGTGGAGGTTTCGGTGAGCCAAGATCACACCACTGCACTCCAGCCTGGTGAGACTCCGTCTCAAAAAAAAGAAAACACAGAAAAGTCACATCCACACTTAAGTGCGCTGTTTTGCTCAGCTCACAGGCATCTGTCTCCCCCAAACTCCTAGCCACTTCCTGTCTGACTCTCTCATTTGGCTTGGCCTGGTTGGCCTTGCCCCATTTGTGCAAAAGTGTGTATGTATGTTTATGAACCTGGTCTCTCAGCTAGACCCTGAGCCCTGAGAAGTGAGCTGCTTTGATGATGTTTCATCACAATCCCAACATGACTTGGCATGACACTTTGTCCCTGGTAGATATTCAACATATATATATACAGATCGCTACACACCCCTCCACAGCTGCCTCATGAGGAAAGGTCCAGGGATGACGTTGATGAAGTTCTAGGTTGCCTGAAGCCTCGTCAGGCATTGCCTAGAATTAAACAGGTTTCTGCCCTGCTGATCCAGCAGCTTCTCATGCTGCTGATTCATCCCAGGAGCTTTCCTCCCAGAAACCTGAATCAGGGCTTGGTGGAGCGAGGACCACAGAGGCCAGCCAAGCCACCTGGCTCCTCCCCAAGCCATCGGACTCCACTCTCCTGCGTCCTGCACTTGTTCACACACTCCCTTGTGCTCTCTCATTCTCAAACCAACCTGTTACCTGTCCCAAACCCAGCAAGGGAAACTGATGACTTACATTTCCAGTGGCAGAGTCTGGGAATCTGCATTAGTGCCATAAAGGGTGACATAAAAGGTGGGCTCAATGTCTCTCATGTTCTTGTAACTGAAGACATGGATTTTCATCTGATAATGGTAAACTGCAGAGACAGCAGAACAAAGATCCTTGTAACCCTTGCTTGTCATCAGAGGACAACCCCTGACCCAAACTGAGTCGCCCAGCACAGAGATTTTAGGACTGACATTCTTTTGGTTGAGCCCAACCTGAGCCCCCATCTGCTCTTGTTCTGTCCAATGCCATGAGGCCACTGCAGTGTAGAAGAAGGAGCCCTGTGCTTGGGAGTTAGATCTTTTGAGGATTTTCACTTCCCTACTTTCTAGCTACATCCCCCTGGATTAAGGCCAAGGTATTAACCTCTCTGAGCCTTAACTAAAATAATACCCACAGTACCCAGAAAACCTTGTGATTGTATAGCGCATTACAAAAATGTAACATGTCATTTTGGTCCCCTGTTCATCTGCCTCGAGTTTCTTACGATGATCAAATGAGAAAACAAATATGAAACAGCTTTGAAAGTTACATCCAAGATAGAAACTTAAGATATTGATATTGTGATCATGGACTGATAGCCACATCAGAGAAGGAGTCTCCAATGTTTATTTTGCAAAGATTCCCCTTCCTAGGACATGCACAGTGTAATCTGATTTGCAATGATTTGATTGAACTATGCTGGCCACTTCTCCTAGGCTGGGACATGCCCTGCTCTGTGATGTAGTATTAAGAAGGAGGTATTTAGGGCCTTCCTCAGGGACACTTGAGGGACTGGAGGTTACCTCTGAAAGGCATGCCCGCCCGGGTCTTTAGGTACATTTTGCTATTCCTCTTGTTCCTCATTTTCTTGGCATTGTAGCCAATGCTATTACAACGGTTCTTGCGGCAGCTCAGGCAGATCCCCTTTTTGAAGCGGTTGGAGTCAGTGCACTGGAAGGCAAAGCTTGGCTTGTCCTGATTCACCAGGGAGTCAACAAAGAGGTGGACGGCCCGTTCATGCTCACATTTTACCACCTCCGTGATTGCTGGGGGTAGGAGGGACAGAAAGCATGCAGGATGAGCCCTTCTCGATGATTAGACACTCAAACAGTCAGGACCATACTCCTCATCAGTGATAGCTGTTTATTGATGCTGTTAGTATTTTCATGTAATTCTTCTGCTTGTTTCCTTTTTGTTTTGAGACAGGGTCTCACTCTGTTGCCCAGGCTATAATACAGGGGGACAATCACGACTCACAGATCACAGCAGCCTCAACCACTGAGGTTCAGGTGATCCTCTCACCTCAGCCTCCCCAGTGTCTGGGACTACAGGCACACAACCACCACACCTGGCTAATTTTTGTAGTTTTTACAGATACGGGGTTTCACCATGTTGCCCAGGCTGGTCTTGAACTCCTGGGCTCAAGCAGTCTTCCCACCTTTGCCTCCTAAAGTGCTGGGATTACAGATGTGCGCCACTGCACTTGGCCTCTGTAATTCTTAATGTCCAGCAAGGTGCTAGGCTCCCATTAAGATGTAGAATTTTGGCCAGGTGCGGTGGCTCATGCCTGTAATCCCAGCGTTTTGGGAGGCCGAGGCAGGTGGATCACGAGGTCAACAGATCGAGACCATCCTGGTCAACATGGTGAAACCCTGTCTCTACTAAAAATACAAAAAATTAGCTAGGCATGGTGGTGCGTGCCTGTAATCCCAGCTACTCAGGAGGCTGAGGCAGGAGAATTGCCTGAACCCAGGAGGCGGAGGTTGCAGTGAGCCGAGATCGCGCCATTGCACTCCAGCCTGGGTAACAAGAGCGAAACTCCATCTCAATTAAAAAAAAAAAAAAAAGATGTAGAATTTCAGGCAATTCCTGCTGCCTAATTGTTCACGCTCTTGGTGGGAAGACAGCACTAATACACACAAAGCAATAAGGAGCAAGAAAGTGCATATAATAAGCGCTAAGTAGAGTGCGGCAGACCGGCTGTGCAGCAGGAGTCACTCCTTCCTAATAGGGCTATACAGTCACAAATGCTGCCAGTGAATCAGATCCTAAACATCGTCTCATCCAGGGCTCAGCAAAACATAGCTTGCAGGCTGGCTACCTCTTTTTTTGCTTTTTGTTTTTGTTTTATAGACAGTGTCTCATTATGTTGCCCAGCTGGCCTCAAACTCCTGGGCTCAAGTGATCCTCACCTGAGCCTAAGCAGTCCTCCTGCCTCAGCATCCCAAATAGGTGGGACTACAGGTGCACCACACTATGCCTGCTGGCTACCTGTTTTTGTAAATAAAGTTTTATTGGGACAGTCACCCTCATTTGTTTATGTATTGTCTATGGCAACTTCTTTTTTTGAGATGGACTCTTGATCCCATCACACAGGCTGGAGTACAGTGATGTGATCTCAGCTCACTGAAACCTCTGCCTCCTGGGCTCAAGTAATTCTCGTTTCTCAGCCTCAAGTACCTGAGGTTACAGGCATGAACCACCACACCTGTCTAATTTTTGTATTTCTAGTACAGATGGAATTTCATCATGTTGGCCAGGCTGGTCTTGAACTCCTGACCTCAGGTGATACACCCACCTCGCCCTCCCAAAGTGCTAGGATTATAGGCATGAGCAACCATGCACAGCCTGTCGGTGGCAACTTTCATGCTATATCAGCAGAGTTGGAACAGATACAATACAGCCTGCAAAGCCTAAAACAGTTACTGTCTGATGCTTTAAGATGTTTACCAAACCCATCTAGTCCAAGCCCTTCAATTATAGATTATAACCCAAAGGTCCATGGGGGTGAGGTAATCTGCTCAGGGTCATAGAGACAGTTGCTTACAAAGTTAGGCATACAATTTGGATTTTCTAATCCAGGTAATTTCAGGGATCTTACAAAAAATTTGGCAAGGCCACCCCCAATCCTGCCTCGTTGGTGCTGGCAGCCTTAAATGGTATCATCCGGCCGAGTGCAGTGGCTCATGCCTGTATTCCCAACACTTTGGGAGGCCGAGGCAGGTGGATCACCTGCGGACAGAAGTTTGAGACCAGCCTAGCCAAGGGGGTGCAACCCCATCTCTACAAAAATACGAAAAATTAGCTGGGCATGGTGGCAGGTGCCTGTAATCCCAGCTGCTCAGGAGGCCAAAGCAGGAGAATTGCTTGAACCTGGGAGGCAATGGTTGCAGAGAGCCAAGATCCCACCATTGCACTCCAGCCTGGGCAACAAGAATGAAACTTCATCTCAAAAAGAAAGAAAGAGTCTGTCTTTTAAAAAAAGAAAAGAAAAGAAAAAGAATGTCCACAATATGTTATTACACAAAAAAAGAAAATTGAAAAAAAATAAAGTTGTAGAACAATGTGAGTTTGGGAAGGAAATGTGCATGCCAATAAATTTGCAAAGAAAAAATACTAGAAGGACCCACACAAAAGCATCCCTACTAGCTACATTTGAAGAGTGGAAGTAGGGCTGGGAGGAGGAGCGCACTTTTGCTTTATGGAAGTCTATAATGCTTGATTTCTTTTTCAACAAATGTGTCTATTGCTTTTGTCATAAAAAGAAATTAATCAGCCAGGCATGGTGGCTCACCTGTAATCTCAACATTTTGGGAGGCCAACGCAGGTGGATCACCTGAGGTCCAGAGTTTGAAACCAGCCTGACCAACATGGTGAAACCCTGTCTCTACTAAAAATACAAAATTAGGCTGGCATGGTGGCACATGCCTGTAGTTCCAGCTACTCAGGAGTCTGAGGCAGGAGAATCAGTTGAACCAGGGAGGTGGAGGTTACAGTGAGCTGAGGTTGCACCATTGCACTCCAGCCTGGGCAACAAGAGCAAAACTCTGTCAAAAAAAGAAAGAAAAGAAAAGAAGAGAGAGAGAAAGGGAAGGAAGGAAGGAAGGAAGGAAGGAAGGAAGGAAGGAAGGAAGGAAGGAAGGAAGGAAGGAAGGAAAGACAACTGTGACCTTAAAGTATGAGAAAGCAGAGTAGAAACCCCTGGGTGAGTTAGTCTTGGAGGACAATGAGAAACATCAGAACAGCGCTGGAGGGCCACTGTGGCGGGAGGTGAAAATAATGAACAAGCAGTGCCTGCAGCACTGAAGGCTCTGGCTGATGTAGAAAGAGATGGGACTGAGTCAAACACAAAGCAGAAAAGAGGGAACTCACTTCCATATCCAATTGTTCCCAGGACATCGTTGAGTCCACAGCCAGGCTGGAAGTCACCCCCGTTGGGGTAGATGTCAATGTGGCCCACAGGCATCTGAATACCAATGCTCAAGCCGAAGGAACGTGTGTAGGTGTGGAGGACATCCACAAAATCCGCATCGTCAGGAGAGAGCCTCTTGTGGATATCTGCCCCCTCAAACATAGGCCCAGCAGGGTCCAAACCTGCAGCAGAAGCGGGACCAAACCAGCTATGTCAGGCACACCAAGTCAGTGAGTCCTGAGTCCAGTTAAGTCTCAGTGTGCAGAATGAAGATGCCTTCTGAACCCAGCCTGGAGAATCCGGACATGGGAAGCATGGAAGAAAACAAGAAACCCATTTCCAAATGTTGCATTGAACTTAGCACAGAAAGTCAACACCAGAACAAAAGTATGCCAAATTGCAGGGTTTATTGCCGGCCACCACGGAGGGCTCACGTCTCTCCAACCCGTGGCCAAGAAAGAAGAGTGACAAGACCTTTTTATACCCACAAAACCACCTTGGGAGTGGGGGTGAAGAGTGGAGATGGGGATGAAAGCTGTCAATCACCTCCTAGGCTGAGACAAGGGTGAGGGGGCTCCAGATATTCCAAGGGCCAGGGGACTTTTGTCATTCCGATTGCCACCTAAGTGGTTTACAGAGGTCCAGGTAAACATTAGTTTATACATTATTTGGACAGGTGTGGGGTCCACATAATTTTAGGTTACTTGGCGCCAGGATGGAATTATCTGGGGGTGCTTACTTTGGTAAACAAAGGCCAGCAATTCTGGCAGTTACAGATAAGAGAAGGTATGCAGCTTGTCCTCTCTTTGCATTTTGCAAGGTAATCTTAGTAGTTTACAGAAGCCATGGCTAATAGTCATTGTGAGGAGAATGGAAACAGTTTTCCCATTTTAAAATGGCATTGTACTGGTTCTAATTCTAGGCCAGCTATATCACACATATGCAATGGACCCCAAGACATCATTGGGTAAATTAAATCCTATTGCTGTGGAATTGACCCTTTCTTCTGAAGCCTTCATGTATCCCGACACCTCAGCCAAACCCCATAAACTAGCCACAAGGTTCATGCTGCCGCCACACAGCTCCAAGGAACTGCTCCTGTTAAAACTGAAGCAGTTCTAGAAAGAACTGCCTGAAATGTAGCCATTTGTCCCATTCATTCTGCCACTGACCACCTTTCATGTCCTTAATTTTAGCAGAATTTTTCCAGAATAACTAAGCTGCCTATATCCTTCTGGAAGGAAAACCCAGTCTCCCCAAACTGAGCTATTTGTGTTTGGACTTATTCTTCCCCTTCCTTTAGTTATGAGCCAGGCTGAGGGGTGGAATCATGAGAGAGAAGAGGATGCCCAATACTCTGAGAATCCATACATCAGGCCTTCAGAATTGCTCTGTTTTGCAGCCACAGTGAGAAAACCTTTCTGCCTCCGAACGTTTTGTGTTGAGCAGGCAAGCGGCACTGTTGAGAGCACTAGTTCTCATATTCGAAACTGTACAAATAGCACTGGGCACTTGTTAAATTCCACCATACAGCTGCACAAAGTTCTGGAGGGACATACAAGCAACTAGTTACCTGTATGTCTGTGCGCTGGGGAGAGGGTGGGTAAGTGAACTGGACAGGTAGCCAGAACAGTAAGAGAGACTTTTCACCATCTTTTGATTTGAAAACTGCATTGATGTAAAACTGTTCCAAGAAAGAACTTGCAAAGTATAAAAATGCAGATTCCCAAGTCCTGGCCTCCTAGAGATTCTGATGATTAGACATGAATTACGGAGCCTAGAAGTAGATATTCATTCCCTAGATGATCCTAAAAGTAGGTATTCTGTGGACCAAATATTGAAAAACTTTGTGCTTTACTATCATTTATAAGATGGAACCTGAATTTATCCCTTAATTCATACAGTCCACGTGAGATCTTAAGAGACTGAGTGACCATCAGTATTAGCTACTGCTACCAAGCCCAAGTAATTATGGGAACCAGATTTATCCCAACCAGAACAGCTCTTTGCCCCACAGGCACACAGGAAGGACCTGGAGAAAGTTAAGAGACAAAATATGCCAGAAAGGAAGGGCCTCTGGAACAGTGGTTCATCACTACAAGTGGTTTTGCCCCCACAGGGGACATTTGGCAATGCCTGGAGATGTTTTGTTGCCCCCATTCTGATGGAGAGAGCTGCTGGCATCTAGCTGGGCCAGGCCAGAAATACAGCTAAGCATCCTACAGTGCACAAGTCAATCCCCCTGAATACACACGCATGCACACACACACACACACACACACACCCCCCATACCAAAACCTTACCTGGCCCCAAATGTCAATAATGCCTAGACTGAGAAACCCTGGCCTCGAAACACCAAGACTGGGAGGAGATGTGACCTGTAGGAGTCCTGAAAGGAGGAAATGGGTAACTGAACCGTGTTCACCACCCCCCAGCACATTAGAACCAGGGAGCCCATCGGGAGATTTGAGAGGGTCATTTCAGGATAAACAACAGGCAGAGCTACTGTCTAGAGTGGACAGTCCACTTGCAGAACTCATTACTCATGAGAACTGGTAGAGGATGAAATGCTAAAGAGTTTCCAAAAATTTAGATAATGTTATGTAGACAGAAAGGGTGCCCAGGCTTCTTGAGGGTTCAACCCTAGCTCAGGACCCAAAAGAAAGATGGCACAAAAGCAGCGTCCTCCCAGAATAGCCCACGACAACCCATTTCAGAGGTGGCAAAAAACACAGTACTGATACAGTGGCCTCTCCCTGCCTCTCACCATGTCCCCTGGAGGAGAGAGAAAGAGAGAGCAACATTCTGCTTTGCAATCAATACAAGAGAGAGGCTCTTTACTTGGTGTGAACAAAGGTCCCCACCAGACAGTCAGTGCCATGGAAACCAGGCTGTGCTGAAGGAATGCCAGAAGCTGATGGGGTTTCACAGTCTGGCTGGTGGGCAAGGCTGGGCCTTCACCTACCCAGCCAGAACCTGCCTGCCCTGCTCTGACTGTCCTTGACACATATCTATGGCCCACAGATTCAGGGGCACAGTGGCACATTTAACTTTTTTAACTAGGGATGAATGAGAGGGAAAACTGCCCCCTTAAATAAAGGGGAGATAGAGAACTCCTGCTTTTTTCATTCAGTCATAGACTCCTCCACAGTTGCTTTGTCCAGCAAATGGAGCACACACACATGCACGCATGCAAAACTTCTAGGGCTGCGCCAGGGCCTGCTATAAGTTCAATACCTACTTTTTTTTTTTTTTTAGACAGGGTCTCACTCTGTCACCCAGGCTGGAGTGCAGTGGCACAATCTCAGCTCACTGCAACTTCTGCCTCCTGGGCTCAGGTGATCCTCCCACCTCAGCCTCCTGAGTAGCTAGGATTACAGGCATGCACCACTATGCCTGGCCACTTTATCTCTACCTACAGAAGAGAGGCAGCATAGCACAGCAGTGAGGTCATTGGGATCTGGAATCTGACAGCATGGGTTTGAGACCCAGCTCTGCTGCTTATAGGGCCTAGGATAATGGGCACTGTACTTAATCACTGAGTTCTAGTTCAGGATTGCTATGTGGCTCACAGATAGCATAAAGTAGCTGTCACACATGAGGTATTTGACATTAGCTAGCATCTAGCCTACACATACTGGACACTGAATCCACATTTCTTGAATAAATACATCTGCTTACTTACCTGTTTATAACAAACAAGACGCAGGTTCAATTACAAAGATATGACCTCTTTCCTAGTATATCACAGACTTCTCCCGGAAGCCTAAGAGAGTAAGACTCTAGCAAACCACATCTACACCCTCTGGCCCAAGCAAGACCGGGGTTCATGTATCCCCTTGCAAGGCCCGGGCTAAGACCGCCTGGTGGCCTTGGCATAGTGCCATCACTGGACGCAGAACCCATGCAAGCCTCAATCCATCCTCTTACCAGTTACAATCACCTGGTCCACAGGTCTGTGAGAAGTTACCAACTAAGGGGAGAGAAGAGGACATAGCCTCGTCCATCAGATATGCACAATAGCGTGTGTCAGGTAAGTCAAATAATCCCTGGGTGCTGCTTGGCAGCTGGACAGAAGCCAGACCCCTGCTCTACAGAGAAAGGCCAGAGGGAAGGGGCTGTGCTCAGGGCATGTGGGCCTCAAGCTCCATGCAAATATCACAGAGCACTAATTAGCATTCTGCCTGGCTCCCCTACCATCCTCTAGAGAGAAGCCCTCACCCCAGCAGATGCCACTCAAACAGGCAGCGGAAAGAGAGAACTGGAAAACTCTCTCCCTAGCCCCATCTCATTTCAGATTTAGAAACAGAAAAAGGCAGGATCTGCATTTTGTCATTGTCATTGACACCGTGGCCTGATTCTGGTGTGTGCTACAATTTGAACTCAGCTGCCTGGATCTGAAACATCACACCTATCATTCAGGAGCTAGGAAGAGGCCCTCAGACAATGGAACCGGAGTGGCTTCAGGCAAAACTGCTTTGCACCAGCAAGGGGTTAAGGAGCAGTCATGGGTGGCCACATAATCATAGCCCACTTTGGGCAGCTCAAGCCCCATAGTCTTGGAAATCAAAAATAAAGCTCTCAAGCTAGGATGAATCAAATCATTGGATCAGCAGGCATGTGCATGCATGCGTGTTGGTGTGTGTGCAACGCATGTACTAGATTCAAGCCCAGGGACAAGGTTCAGGAGAGCCAGGAAAACCTCACAAATGTTCTCTTTAAAATTCTACCATACCAGCTTGTCACTGAAACCTAAAATTCTACCTTTACCAAATCATTATTTAGCTAAGGAATCTCTTCTACCTGAGTTTTGTTTTGTTTTTTGAGACGGAGTCTTGCTCTGTCACCCAGGCTGGAGTGCGGTGGCATGATCTAGGTTCACTGCAACCTCCACCTCCCAGGTTCAAGCAATTCTCCTGCCTCAGCCTCCTGAGTAGGTGGGATTACAGGCACGCACCACCACACCCCGCTAATTTTTATATTTTTTGTGCAGACAGGATTTCACCGTGTTGGCCAGACTGGTCCCAAACTCCTGACCTCAAGTAATATGCCCACCTTGGCCTCCCAAAGTGCTGGGATTACAGGCATGAGCCCCTGCACCTGGCCTGAGTTTTGTTTTAAAATGAAAATGCTGCAGGGAAAGGAATTGTTAGATTTTTTCTTCTAGGTGATCACCCTTAGTGTCTTGGGAGTGAGGTGGAAGCTAGAGGTGAATATAAATAAAATAACACTGGAAGGAGGAAAGAAGTTCAGGGAAACAAATTTACCATTAATTTTAGCATAGAGGAAGCTTTGGGTATATACTTGAGGGGCCCCAAAATGAGAAAGAAAACATTTTACACTTTTCACAATCATTAAATGATTTAATCCAAACCCTCACATTAAAAGTCAGTGAGATGCAGTTTTCAACATGGAAAATTCAATTTTCTATTGGCCCCCTGGGGACTAATATCAGAAAGGTCCCTTTTATTACAAAGTTGAACTCCCCATTCTAAATTGGTAGCTATCATTCATAAATATACTACCTTATAATATGGGAAAGAGACTATTGGGAGACAAGATAGAAATCAGAGGCAGAGGCCGGGTGCAGTGGCTCACACCTGTAATCCCAGCGCTTTGGGAGGCCAATGTGGGCGGATCACTAGGTCAGGAGATCAAGACCGTTTTTGCCAATATGGTGAAACCCTGTCTCTACTAAAAATACAAAACTTAGCTGGGTGTGGTCCACGTGCCTGTAATCCCAGCTACTCAGGAGGCTGAGGCAGGGGAATCATTTGAATCTGGGAGGCAGAGGTTGCACTGAGCCGAGATCACACCACTGCACTCCAACCTGGTGACCGAGGATGACTCTGTCTCAAAAAAAAAAAAAAAAAAAAGAGAAATCAGACGCACTGCACTCCAGCCTGGATGACAGAGTGAGACTCCATCTCAAAAAAAAAGAATTCAAACTAGAAACCTAGAATCCAGTCTTCATTCTTTCCCCCTGAGTCCTTGGGTGGAGACCTGAAGTGAACACCCAAAAGCTTTGGGGCAGGACTCCATCAGCTTCTGCTCTTGAGTTATTAGCTGTTTGCCCCTGGGCAAGTTGCCTCACCTCTCTGTGTCTGTTTCCTCACCTGTTGGACTAGAACAATGGTTTTCAAACTGTGTTCCCTGGTGCTCTGATACTCTGAGATGCCTCCAGGGAAAGGGAAACCCCACGTTGGCAAGGCTAACACAACCCATCACATACCCACCCTGCTTCACCCACAGCAACCCCCTCTCTCTCTGCCTCATATATTGGGGGACTGTGCAAGTTCAGTTTGAAAACAAAGGGTCCTGTGACTAAAAAGAACATTTGGGAAGTTTTGGATTAGGTGTTCTCCAGGTTCCTTCCAAAGCTAACCTTCTATGACTCACTCCACTGCCTCATTTGATAGCATTCTGGTTCAACACAGCTGAGGGATCCCAGCAATCCCCAGCTGTTAGTGATGGAAGCAGAGCTCACCTGTGATCCGGCCCACCGTTCCTTTCACGAAGTTGCCAGCATACCCGGCCACATGTGCTCCAAGGCTGTAGCCGATCAGGTGGACATTACCGAGAGAAAATTCATCCTTCTCCTGCAGAAAGTCACCAAAGTATGTGGGCAGAAGAGCAGGGTCTGGAGCCCCCAGAGTCAGCAGCAATTCAACAATTCAATCACTGTGCAGGAGGAGATGCAGGGGCCATGGGCACAGACTCCCCAGGGCCCCTCTGGCTTTGCTAGTGATGCCATATATGTGGGTCACAGCCAGCTTAAGGGATGCCAAAAGGACTTGGTGTCACTGTAAATGTTAAGCACGGGGGCAGGGTGGAGGGTATGACTAGAGGCTGAATACCTGGCTGTTTCCTACATGTTTTCCATTCTTTCTGGCAGTTTCTAAGAGAGGGGAGGGTGGCAAGGTGAAAGCTGCCTTAGTCACTGGAGACTGCAGTGTCAGCCACAGCCCTCAGCAGAATGCCCTCTGCCTGCCCTCTTAAGTCCTGACCTCCACCCAGCCCCGGGAGCTGCTGACTTCCTCCCCAGAAGCCCACCTGGGACCCCAGGCTTGAAGCACTGTCCCCTGTCAGAGCACTCATTTGGGGGGTAAGGAGGTAACCCCACGGCTTGGGAACCAAACTCTGTAGAACAGCTTAGACAGAGGACAGAGGGATTACTCAAGAATCCTGAGCAGAATTCTACCAGAATTCATCCCACTTCATGGGAATAAGGAAGGCCAGCCAGAATGACCTAGATAATGATGCTGCTTCGACAGGGCAGCCTGCCCTGCCTTCTCCCAGCTAAGTCCATTGATCTCAGGCAAATTATTAACCTATTAAAAGTAAATAGGCCAGGTGAGGTGGCTCATGCCTATAATCCCAGCATTTTTGGGAGGGTGAGGTAGGCGGATCACCTGAGGTAAGGTGTTTGGGACTAGCCCTGCCAACATGGTGAAACCCCATCTCTTCTAAAAATAAAAAAAAGTAGCTGGGTGTGGTGGCAGTTACCTGTAATCCCAGCTACTCAGGAGGCTGAGGCAGGAGAACCACTTGAACCCAGGAGTTAGAGGTTGCAGTGAGCTGAGATCATGCCACTGCACTCCAGTGACAGTGAGACTGGGTAACCGCGAGACTCCGTCTCAAAAAAAAAGTAAACATAAGACTTCAAGATCTGTTTTCTACAATTCATATTTTAAAAGAGGTATTAGGCTGCATTTTTGAAATAACCCCCTCCCCACCCTCAGCACAGCCATGCTTCAGAGGCAAGAGCAGGCTTTGTAGGAATTTCAGATCACAAGCCTGGCCTGGTTCCTGGTATCCCCAACCAACCTAAGGGCATCTGTTTCTAAGATCAGGAAGGAACAACTCATAAGGCCAATTTTCAGCAAATTAAGAAACAGGAAAAATCCAGAGATCTGTCAATAATTAAAAGGCTTTAGAAAAGTCCCAGCATTCAAGTATTCCGAGCAATACTTAATTCAACAAAACTTTTAATCCTAAAGATTTGAAGTTCACAGCAACAGATGTATGATCTGTATTTCTCAGGAAGACTGTGGTTTGAGATCCTGCTGGCAACAGGAGACTCCCCCTCAGCCCCCGGTACCTGCAGCCAGTCGAGCATCCTGGCAATGCTGCGTCCCACCGCCCTGGTGTTATTGACCGCATCCGTGTAAAGCTGGTGGGCCAGGGGGAGCCAGTTAACCACAACTACATTGGCGTCCCTCTCTCTTGTGTGCAGGGCTGACACGAGTTTGTGCAGCCAGTTTTCAAAGATACCACTCATCTGCAGAAAAAAGTGGAAGTTATTTTTTACTCTTCTTGGTTTCAGTAAGTCCTAAACAATATGGAATTCCATTCTATATGACCCTCTCTCCGGCTAATTTTTATTTTTTGAATCAGGGTTTTGCTCTGTTGCCCAGGCTGGAGTGCACTGATAACAATCTCAGCTCATGATAGCCTCAAACTCCTGGGCTGAGGCAATCCTCCCACTTCAACCTCTAGAGTAGCTGGGGTTACATGCACACACCATTTTTTTTTTTTTTCTGAGATGGAGCCTTGCTCTGTCACCCAGGCTGGAGTGCAGTGGTGCAATCTCAGCTCACTGCAAACTCCACCTCCTGGGTTCAAGTGATTCTCCTGCCTCAGCCTCCTGAGTAGCTGGGACTACAGACACATGCCACCATGCCTGGCTAATTTTTTGTATTTTTAATAGATCTGGGCTTTCACTGTGTTAGCCAGTATGGTCTCCATCTCCTGACCTCGTGATCCACCTGTCTCAGCCTCCCAAAGTGCTGGGATTACAGGCATGAGCCACCGCGCCCGGCCAATTTTTAAATTTTTTGTAGCAACAGGGTCTCACTTTGTTGCCCAGGCTGGTCTCAAACTCCTGGGCTCAAGCGATCCTCCCATATTGGCCTTCCAGAGCGCTGGGATCCAGAGCCACCATGCCCAGCCCCCAGCCAATTTTAGAACCTGCACATTGGCTGCTCAGAGACCAAACATTTGCACATGAGCAGGACCAGCACAGGCAGAACCACTATGCAGGTATTTGTCTTCCATTGCTCTTTACATCACCAGTATTTCCCGTCAAAACTTTCCTAGTTAATGTCCTATACTGTTGCCCCCCTGTCTGCTAGGGCCACTATGAGATATGCTTTAAGGGTGATACTGGCATGAGGCTGGTCTGAGTCCCTGTTACAGGCAGACAAGTGGCCTGGTCCATCCTTCAAAGGCAGCTGGGGAGGGTTTCCCTGGAGAATTAGGTTCTCTCTTAGAGATGCAGGGAGATGCTGTCTCCTAGGTGAATGCGGAGTTAACAAGTGACCCCTTCCCACAACCCATCTCTGCCATTCCTCTTGACCCCAGAGTAGGGAAAATCTGTCCCTGGAATCCCAAATTACAACTCAAAACATATTTTCCCACAGAAACAAAGTTATAAATGGTGACTAGTCCAGTTGTAAACCTATCCACAAGCACACTGTCAAATAAATAGACTTTCTGTGCCCAGCCTGGGAACCCAAACGCCACTTACAATCTTGCTTCTATGGGAAACTGCTGTTCCAAGTTCCAAAAAAATTACAAAAGAACTTTCTGGAATGCAACCCATTTGTAAGTCACAGGCAGCTTGTATTTGCATTTTGACAGGGGGCCTTAAAAAGATTCAAACATATGATTCCGATTGTAGGCTATGTGATGAGCAGGGATGGACAGGCTCTTAATCATCTCTGCATCCATCAAAGTAGGTAGGCACCAACCCTCTCCTGCCCCTGACCGCAACCGTGGATCTTAGACCTAAAGACCCCAAAAGCATGTAACAGATATGAATTTCTCATCATTAAAAGGAGACTGTCCCCTTCCAATTAGTCCAGGCAGAAATCTGCTCACTTAATAGTGCCATTTCCCTGCGGACTGTCATTATATGAATGAATAGATCCCTAGCTGGTCAAAAGCTTCTGAAGCTGAGCACTAAAGCCCTTTTTTGTTGAAGTTTGTCATGGGCTTTTCAATTTGAATTGCTCAGCTAGGACACATAAAGAGCCCCAGTGCCTTTAAACGGAGCTATCTCTATGCAAACAGGAGGGCACCATGCCAAGGGCAGCCGGCAATCCAGGCCAGCTGGCTACTCACAGGTTCTTGGAGCCAGTCAAGTTGCTTTAGTTAAGCTCAGCTCTCACGGCAGGATAGCCCCTTCCAGGCAGTGGTTGACCAGCATAATTAAGTGTAATTAAAGGGGTCCTTAAGAGCCAGTGGAGCTGGGCTGCTGCCCTCAAGAGAGCCACTTTCTGAAAGCCCGTTGTGTGCCAGCATTAATACTACCCTGCTGGAGTCCAGATTGCCCCTTAGCGAATGCCCGTTACATTCTTCACAGCTGTCTGAAATACAAGCAGCCCACAAGGAAACGGGGGAAGAGGGTTTGGAATCTGGAAACACCAGAATTCTTTCTAATTGACCAAAACAAAGGGAATCAAATCTTGTGTAAAGCCGCCGACCTCCCTCCTGGGGCTCACCGTCCATCCATGAATGATGAAAAAGGTTTTAGCTGTCATGTTGAAACCACAGTCTTCTAAGGGCTGGCTGTGCCCAAGGGAGAGGTAGCATCCTTCATGCTCTGGGTCTTTGGAGGTGCGGAGGTTAAACCTCACAGAGGGTTTGACCTCAGCCTGTACAGCTTTGGGTTTGTAGATCTCATCTGGGAAGAAAGAATAGAATGTGGGTGCATCTAGCAGACTTGGGGAGTGAGAGACCTGGGGTCTGGTTCTATTTCAATAGTGAGCAAATTGCTTAAGCCTTCTGGGTTTCAGTTTTTATATCTGCTGAATGTTCCCTTTTCACCTCCCAGAGAAACTGTGAAGGTATTATAAAAAGGACATCTCATCTATACTTAATGTGTATTAATTAGTCACCAGTATTAATTATTGTCACTCTGAAATAAATAGGTCTCTCTCCTGCTTTTCCCTTTCTTTCCTATCAAAAGGAGTTCTCCTTCCTTCCTACTTTTAGGGCATGGGTCCTCAATTCTTTTTCTGAAATGCTTGGGACCAGGTGACTTTCAGAATTCAGAAGTTTTCAGATTTTAGAAAGGCATTATGGAGCATATACCATATATTAAATAATGCTGCCAGTGTGGTCTGGGCTATCCCCCCAGATCAAAAACCCTAATATTTCTGCAGAGAAACACATAATCACTCACATTTCAGGGCAAGCATAATCAATAGCCTCCTGTCATCTCAGGCCAGGTTCTTGCTGCCTAATGAGTTCAGATCAGGTAAGGCCAAACAAGCTCTTGCTGCCAAACGAGTTACCAAACACATTTTCCAATTTTGAGAGATTGCGCGTTTTGGAATTGAGGTAAGAGGCTGCTGATCTGTTGGAAAATAGGCTTCCCCTAGTGTTCCCACCTAGTGAACCTCAGGCATCCTCAGTGCCCTTTCTAGTGGTGGCATATGCCAGGCATTCTTCCAGTTTGTTAAGTGAATGACTAAAGCCATGGAGAAACTCCTAAGAGCAACAGAATCCCCCCTTCCAGCTTCACTGCTCATGCACAGTGTCACCTGGGAGATGGCCCTGCTCCCAAAGTGAAGCTCATGTCACTGATGGCCCCTGTGGCTTAACACTAGGTAGGTGCTGGCATCATGACACTGTTTCAGAAAGTCATACATGGACCCACCCAGCACTCTTACAGCCATCCTGGATGCATCACTGGATAACGGGCCAGAGAGTAATCAAATCTATTACCCAGCAGGGAAAGATGCCAAATGACCATCTTGGAGTTAATTTATCTCAGAGTTAAGAAGCAAAAGGAAAAAGGATACCAAAAGGAAAGAGATATATCGGTGGAGAGGGTAGAGGGAAAGGAATGGGAGAGGGGGAGAATGCAGCAGATGGAAGAGGGATAAGGTTCCAGAAAAGGCTGCTGAATGCACATGAGTAGAAATCAGGTTAACTGTCATGAAAGTCATGAACAAAAGCCCCAACCAGCAGAAATGTGAACCACAGGCATAACGAGTTCGACAACTCCCCAGCTTCTACACAGATAGCCACTCACGCAGAGACCAGATAGGGAAGTCTAGGAGAAAAGGAGGCTGCTGGCTTTCTGAGACAGATCTGTGGATAAACCTGCATAAAGACAAAGACTCTTCCCCTTGCCATCTGACCAGCTCTGACCACAAAGTTCTCTAGCTGCATCTGTACTACTTTTGGCCTGGTCACTTCAGCCTCTGGAACTTTCTGATTGTTCTTCACCCAGATGTCCTGGTGCCTCCTTCTCTCACCCACTTCAGCTCTTTGCTCAATGGCCAACTTCTCCACAAGGCCTTCCCCGACCACGACCGCATGGTAACATTGCGCCACCTTCCCCCACCAGCATGCCCACCTTCCTCCTCTGCTTGATTTTTCTCCATAACACTGAGCACCACTGACACTTTAATCAGCGCACTGCCTGTTTTCCCGCCACTGAAAGGTAAGCATCACAAGGGCAGAGATTGCCATCTATTTCATTCACTGCTGTCTCCCCTGCTCCCAAAATAGTGCCTGGCTCAAAGTAGCCATACAGGAAATAGTTTTTGAAATGAATGAAATGACTCACACATACTCAGAGGCATGAAACACAGAAGTTAGAAGGAACTTAAGCATTTAACAGGTGAGGAGCCAGAGATGAGACCTGCCCCAGGCAATGCTTCTTGTTAGCACCAGAGTTGGAAACATGATGAGTTGAGCCAAGCTTTCCATTCATTCAGAGACCCCCTCCCACACATGCAGAAGCAGACACAGACCTTTTGGCACAACCTCAGCAGACTAGGAGAAGATGAGATGATGGGATTCAGTTTAGGGGCTCTCCAGCCCTCCCCTGCTTAACCAGCTGACTTAGTTCTCACTCTGGGTGACTGACTGGCTCCCCCAGGGCAGGCTGCCTTCACTGGAAAAGACTGCCATGCAGATCTCAAGAGGAAGAAAAGCTAGAAGCCAGAAGGAGGAAAAGGAAGAGGAGTAGGAAGAGGAAGAATGGGGGAGCACAATAGTGTTGAAGAGGAAAAGGCTGGCAACCTAGGGGAGTAAGCCCTGCAGCTTCTAAGCACAAGTGACCTACTGGAGGCTCCCGGCAAGCACTATTAAACCACAGCCTCCTACCCTGCTACCTGAACTTTCTAACAACCGTCTTGCCTCTCAGACCTCCAGGTTCAGGCATCAGGACAAGGTTTCAGAGCTGCTGGCGGGCCACTGGGCTAGCTGGACAGCACCAGCGCAGACTGAGGGAGCCATATAAGGAAGGGGGTGGGGGAGAGAGGGCTGGGAAGAGCCAGTGCACCCTGCCAGCCTTTCCCTCTTCATGACTTGCCCGGGAAACCTACATCAGAAGCGAGGAGAGACAAGTGGACTCCAAGGTGGATTGGAGGAGAAATGGGCTGCACAGTGGGAAAGGAAGAATTTCAGAGGAGCAAGGAGGGATTGAAGAACCGGCAAGACAGAGGGGATCCAGCATAGAGAAGTGGCTAGGGGGAATAAAAATAAATGCACGTTACCTTCCAGCCGTCCCTCTGGATCAAAAGATGCAGGGCTCCCTGCAGCAAAACAACAACAGAGGCTCCAGAAACAGAGCAGAGGAACGGAATTTCTCATCCTGCCTTGTCACAACCCCTCCCCCGAGAGAGGAGTTTTAAAAAACAAAAACCACCTCTCGGTGTTTCCAGCAGTCCGGGCTAGTAAGACCAGAAGTGGGCAGCCTTCTCTCGACCAGGGGCTGGGGGTGCTGGACGTGGAGTAAGTGGAAAAGGAAAATTTGGCCGCACGGAGCCACCGGCAGTGGCAAGGAGCGAGTGTGAACGGCTTGCACCAGAACCAGATCTGCCCTCGCCCGGAGCCGCCGAGAGGCTAGGGCTCGTTGCTGTCACACTCCTATAGAGGTAGTTTTTTAAAGTATGGGAGTCATCTGACCCATCGCCAGATGGTGATTTGCATAATTTATTCCCGTCTCTGGACTCTGATTGGTCCCACCTTCGCAGACGCCGGAACCGAGATTGAAGAAAGTTTGAATGAAAGAACTGCACACTCACAACGTGGACGCCGCACACTCGGCCTAGCTTCCTCCCGGGCCCACTCCGGCAGCCCCAGCTTTCTCCCACTGCCCTACCCCGGACCCCTAGAGCCTCCTCTCGCCCCTGCCGCCCTAAGTGACGGGGGCGGACATTTCCCCGAAACTCTGCTCCCGCTGGGGACGCGATCCCTGAAGAAGGAGATCACCCTCTCCAAGGCGCAAAGCCACACACTCTCTGTGAGTAGTGTATCCGCCCCCCGGGCCGGGAGTCCGTCGGGGAAGAGCCACCTGGTCATCCCCTTTGTCCTTCCCTTCTCCTTCCCGTCGCTCCCAGCGAGGGCTGCAACAGGTGCAGACTCCGCGGCAGCACAGTAACCCGGAGGAACAAAGCGGCTGCGGGCTGCGGCCGGCGCTGGAGGATCGCACAGTCCCTGCTCCAGGTCCTCCCTCCTCCACTAGCTGCAAAACTCCAGGCGAGCCGGCCAGCTTCTCCGAGGCGATTCTCTCGTCCACAATACGTGGGTGATAATGTATCCGCGGCTTAGAGATGTTGGGAAAACTAAGAGTTCACATAGCAAAGCACTTAGCGGGGCGCAGGGCGCAGGGCGCAGGGCGCAGGTCGCGTGGCAGGCGCTCTCCTACGGTGGGGTGGAGGGCCAGAGGAACACCAAGCGACCTCCTTAAAGGGATCAGAGAGCCGAGATTTGGGGTCTAAGAAGCGTAGCCAGCGCCCGGTGTCGGCCGATGAGCAGTAACTCCTTGGTGAGTGAAATCAAGCACCTCCTTTCTCTCTTTTCTCCATCATTTCCCCCCCGGCTCTCCTTCCCTTTATGAATGTGGGTCCTGGGGCAGAAAGCAGCTAGCAGAGGGAGAATTTGGCCCAGAGTCTGCGTCTGGCGCTGGGGAGCGGGGACTAAGTCCGGAACACCCGCGGGGCGGCTGCGCCAACAGCCACTGCGGACGCAGAGCGGGTGTGAGAGGCTGAGAGGCTGCATCCCGCCGCCCAGCCTCGCTCCAGCCGGGAGGAGCCGGCTCTTCAAGGCGACACCCTTGACCGCGAGTAACCCTGCAGTGGCCCAGAACAGGTCCTTCCCCTACCTAGGGAGGCAAACCCTCGAAGCAGCCCCGCTCCCTGCCTCCCCAGCGTGGGGGCTTTAGCTGGAGAAACCTGTGTGGGGAAAGTGAGCTGGGAGCCAGCAGTTCCTGTTCCGACCTCCCCTTGTTACTTTTGTTACTCCAGCAGTTAGCAGAGCACTCTTTGTCCCTCCCGTGTGCTATCATTCATTAGCAGGACGCAGGCTGGGGTTAATTTTTGACTACAAAACTCAACTGTCTGTATGGGATGGCAAATGTCATCCCCAGATATGTCGTTCCCACTCTCTTAATTGGCAAACTATGCAGACATAGGTGTGTGTTATCTCCATTTTACAGATGGGAAAACTGAGTCATGGGGACAGGCTGCAGATTTGAACAAAGTCTCAGGACAACCTGAGTCATGGGGACATGCTTCGGATTTGAAGAAAGTCTCAGGACAACTCTCTTCTCTGTTCTAGGTTTGATTTGGTCAATTTACCTTTAAATGTGAGCCCTTGGCAACCTGGTTGCCATCTCTTTAGTGGCTGAGGCAGGGGGTAAGCTGTAGTCAAAAATCCTCTTCCCTAGCCCTGGTAACATAGAAAGACACTTGTCTCCACACACAAAAAAGGTTTTTTTAAATAGCTAGGCAAGGTGGTACTCCTGTGTGCAAGCTATTAATACTTGGGAGGCTGAGATGGAAGGAATCCTTGAACCCAGGAGTTCAGCGCTACAGTGTACCAGGATCACACCACTGCACTCCAGCCTGGACAACAGAGCCACAAAAAAAACTCCTTCCCTGTTCTGAGTTGCTCACAGCCATGCTTCCTAGATAATTAACTAGATAATGTGGAGGGTGTGTCTTGAGAACCTTTGTCATAGGTGAGATACCCCCACAGAAGCTAGGGTATTTTGCAGGGTATTTTTGCAAGGTAGTACTGCAAAGTTGGTTATCCTGCCTAGAAAAAAAAAAAAGAAAAAGCTGTGTTTTACAGTTTCAACAAAAGCAACCTCCATTTTTTAACTGCCAAAGCTATGAAACCATTCAGGTTTGTTATTACTAGTTGGTTAGAGTGCCCTCCTGTGTCTCTGCATTAAAATATTGTCTGAGAACTTTCAAAGGACATCATGAAATTATAATTGTAGCATTAGAATGTATGACATCAACAGTTCTGCTTCATACTTCCTAGAACAAGATCTGAAGAGACTCCCATGTGAAGGAGATCCAGCTGAGGGGTCTCGGTGGAACTTCCGCTGTGTTGCAGTCAAAATGTCAAAGTCTCAGGCAACACAAGGAAAGGGTTCCAGTCATTCTTACTTGGTAGCTCAGCATCTAAAGACCCTTCCTGGCCGGGTGCAGTGGCTCAAGCCTGTAATCCCAGCACTTTGGGAGGCTGAGGCAGGTGGATCACGAGGTCAACAGATCGAGACCATCCTGGTCAACATGGTGAAACCCCGTCTCTACTAAAAATTACAAAAAATTAGCTGGGCACGGTGGCGCGTGCCTGTAATCCCAGCTACTCAGGAGGCTGAGGCAGGAGAATGCCTGAACCCAGCGGGCGGAGGTTGCGGTGAGCCTAGATCGCACCATTGCACTCCAGCCTGGGTAACAAGAGTGAAACTCCGTCTCAAAAAAAAAAAAACAAAAAAACCCTTCCTATGTTAAAGGAATAAATCTTCTGCTTATGATAAGGACCCACTTTCCACTTAAGAAAAGCTCAAAAGCAATTGCTCACCTTCCCAGACTCCCTTGCAGCTAGAGTCCCCGATTCAAATTCAATCAATCGAACTCTGAACTGGAAACTAACAGGGCTGGAAGCACATACCAACTTCACTCTGCCAATGGGCAACCTGCTCTGGTTCTCAGGGGCAGCAGTGGAGTCACTCCCAGACTAGTCTGCAGTGGGATTTGGGACATCACTGCCTGCCTCAGTATATCCTCCAAGCTTCTGCCCTGCAGAGATTCCAATTGTTATCCAATATTCTCTAAATGAGGTCCTCTTGTATATACATTATCCAGAGACTGTTTATATTCTTGCGACTAAGAAAATGACTTAATTGCCAGATGCTTATTGAGCAGCTACTAGGGAGGAAACACTGGTCTAGGGACCATCCCTGTGCTCTCACAGACACAATGTAGAAAATTACAAGTGCCAGAAGGCTGGCTGATAAGGTAGAAGTTCCCAAATACCTGAACCAATGCTATCCAACGTAAATATATAATACAAACTGCATGTCTTGGTCAGGTTGGGCTGCCAGAACAAAATACCATAGACTTAGTGGCTTAAAACAACAGAAATTTATTTTCTCATAGTTCTGGAGGCTAGAAGTCCAAGATCAGGGTATCAGCATAGTCAGTTTCTGGTGAGGGCCCTCTTTCTGGCTGCTAGATGGCTGCCTTCTCACTGCGTCCTCACATGGCAGAGAGAGAGAGACGGCGCTGATGTCTCTTCCAATAACAACTCTTAATCCCATCATGTTGCCTCACCTCAGAACATCATCTAAACCTAATGATCTCCCACAGGCCCATCTCCAAATACCATCATAGGGAGTTAGGGCTTCAACATAGGAATTTGAGGGGATCCCCATTCAGTCCATAGCAGCACATATAGAATTTTGTGTTTTCTAGCAGTCCTATTATAAAGGTAAAAAGAAACATATGAAATTAAAATTAAGCAGCTGGGTGTGGTGGCTCAGGCCTATAATCCTGGCACTTTGAGAGGCCAAGGCAGGAGGATGGCTTGAGTCCAGGAATTTGAGACTAGCCTGGACAACATAAGGAGACCTCATCTCTACCCAAATAAATAAGTAAAAACATTTTTAAAAAGAAATTAATAATATTAATATATTTTACTTAAACCAAGACATCCAAAATATTATCGTTTCAACATGTATAAAATATAAATACAAAAATTATTGAGATATTTTTCATTCTTATTTGAAATCCAGTGTGTATTTTATAGTTACAGCACATGTCAGTTTGGACTAGCCACATTCAAGTGCTCAATAGCCACATATTTCTGGTCACTACCA